ACTGAGGGTTGCGATCCATTGCCGGACACGGAAAAAGACAAAAAAAAAAAAAAAAAAAAATCTAGGTCCCTTTTGCCACAGTGCTGGGTGTTTCCATTTCCCCACACTTCCTACCTCAGGAATGATGTGTGACCTCTCAGGTTCTCACAACAGCCCTGTGTAGGCAATCAAGGGTCAGAGAGATTGAGGAACATGCAGCAGGTCACAGCCAGGGAGTGGGGGAACCAGCACTGGAGCCTCCAGATTCTTTCAACCACACCCAGTTGCTACAACCCCATGCTTCCCTCCTCGAGTGTTTGGATACCACATGCAGGGTTAGGGGTTCTGTGGTGCTCGATGGGACTGTGCTGGGTTTCTAGAAGTTTCCTTCTCTGACCAGGGAATTAAGGAGTGTCCTAGCCAGTGTCTTATGTGCTGAGTCCTCACAGTAGAACCTCTCTTAGCTTGTGATAGAACAAAATGGGAGGCTTTATTTCTGGTGTGAACATAGTACCTGTATGAGTTATCTATTGCTGTGTAGCAAATGACCTCAAAACTTAGTGGCTTTAAACAACATTCACTATCTTATAGTCTCAGTGAATCAAGAATTTGGGAGCAGCTTAGCTGGGGGCGGAGGTGGGGTGGGGTGTTGGTGCAGGGTCTCTCAGGTGGTGGGCTGCAGTCATCTGAAGGCTTGACTAGGGCCGGAGTCAAGTTGATGCACTCACAGGTCCTTGCCACATGGGCCCCTCCGGGCTACATCAGTGTCCTCACAACATGGCAGCTAACTTCACCCAGAGTGAGCAATCCGAGAGAGAAAGAAGCTGCAGCACCTGTTACAACCTCGTCTCCAAAGTCACACACTGTCACTTCCCACATTCTGTTAGAAGAATTCTGTGCATTGGTCACTAAGTCCAGCCCATACTGAAGGGGACAGCAATTAGCTTCTCCTCTTGAAGGGAAGAGTATCAAAGGATCTTTGAACATATATTGAAACCAACACAGTACCTCAGAGTGGGAATTAAAGGCACATAAGGGAAATTCTCCAGTCAGCAGGATTGGGTGGAGGCTGTCCTCTCGGAGCAGGAACCAATGTGGCCTTGTTCCCATCAGGGCTCAGTGTCCCTATTACCCCGACAGGACCTACGCTATATCTTCATCCCCTCAGACATCCGCGACTACATGATGCTGAGATCGGCCATTCTGGGTGTGCCTGTCCCTGAGGGCCCTGATAAAGGGGACAGGTGAGCAGGCAAGCGGTGGTGCTGCGAGGGGCTGGGTAATGCTGCTGTTGGCTCCCCTGGCTCCCCAGGCCTCCAGTGGGATAGAGAAGGTGGGTGAAGTTTAGTAAGAAAATCCCCCAGAACTCAATGATCCCCAAATATTCAACATACTTCAGCACTGAGGAATTATGCTCTTTTCATCTACTCCCAGGAAAGCCCAGGTGACCTTACTGGTCCCCAGTAACCCTCCTGATGCAGTGGGCTGGCAGCTCGAGGGGCAGTGTTTCTGGGTGGAGAGCAGGCTCCTCAGCTACAGGCTGCAGTCTCCATATCCAATCCAGCCTCCAGCTGCCCCGGGACACAGACAACATTGGCAGAGGCCTTTCCTCAGCTGGGTCTGCTGTCCCGTTGAGCACATTGTTCTGGAAACTAGGAGTAGGGGCCAGTATCTGAGCCACTCATCCTGGTGGGCATCTTTCCCAAGGCTGTGCCCATGAAACAGGAGAACAGGCTCCGGAGGCCCGTGTCCCAAGAGGTGGGAACAAAGGGTGCTTTGCCTTCTCTCTCCCACCTTGCTGCACAGCAGGCCTGGGTCCAGCTCTTTTGAACCATGTCCTAGCCCTTATCTGAACCTTCTTCCTGCAATTGAGACTGTGTCTTGTCCTCCCTGAGATCAGGTCCTTAGAAATCTATGCCACTGCTGCGGCCAAGATGACCAGACCTCCTATCTCAGTGCTCTCAGGACATCTCACCCACTCCCCAAAGAGCAGCTTTTGAGGTGGTCCCTACACATTAAGTCCTCAAAAGTCAGACCCATGTCTGGCCGCAGTCCTGTGTCCAGCCGGGCTGAGTGCCCCACCCCTGCCCTGTGATTACCCAACAATTGCTCCCCATGCTGCTGCTGGTCATGAGGATGGGTTTTGTGACACGGGCAGACTGGACCCCTGTGGGTGCTGCCTCAGAGACACCGGGTAGACATAAGCCTCCCACCAACACCAATGAGCTCCCCATCCCACACCCCTATTCCATCCCCTACCCAGTCCCCCTCCCAGTCCCGTTCCAACAATATTGTCAACCCTTCCAACCAGCAGCCCTACACTAGCTCTGGAGGCCCAGCCCCTTCCCCTTCCCCTTCCCCCACTCGGGGGTCTTCTTCCCGCCCACCCTCTCACCCTCCCACCCCAAATGCCTCACAGCCCTCTTCACGGGCTTCCTCCCTAACCCCCAGTCCTCATGTCCAACATGTGCCCCGAGGGGCTTCCCAAGTCCCCACTCCACCCACCTCCAAATCTCCCTCCCAATCTGGTCTTAAACCCCTGTCTCGAAACCCTTCCCTAACCCCCTCTGTGCCCATCGCCAAGTCTCCCTCCTATAGCCCTGCCACCTCGGCCTCCTATATTGGGCCAAGTTGGGGCATACCATCCTACATTGCCCCCTATGTGCCCCGCTTTCTGAAGGAGCCCCCCTTTTTCCAGCCCCCTATGGCACCACTTCCCCAAAACCGGTGCTTTCCTTGCCCCTTTCCCTGCTCTCCCCGGGAGCGCCCTCCCCCTCCGGATTCACTCTACTTCCCTCTCCTCCCCCCGCCCC